TGCACAAAACAATGCAAAGGCCATCTAACTTCTGACCATGCAACCTCTAATCAACGCTATTTCTAAATACACAACTTCTAATACCGCAACCTCTGGGCGTCACAATCTTTTGTCTGCTATAACTTCTGACCAATCCAACCTCTGATCAGATGCAACTTCGGATCATCTCATCTTCTGACCACTCAACCTCTGACTAGATACAACTTCTGATCATCACATCTTCTGACCACCCAACCTCTGATCATTACATCTTCTGACCACTCAACCTCTGACCAGATACAACTTCTGATCATCACATCTTCTGACTAATTCAACTTCTAACATCAGAACTGCTACCTTTCACTATACCACGCATCTTCTAACAACTTACTTCTAACTTCAGAACTTCTATCTTGCACTAATCTAATGAAGCTCTAGTCGACATACTTCTACTGTCAGAACTACTACTTTCTATTCATCCTATTATTCTAATCCTTTGCCTGATATCAATCTAACTAAGAACAACACTAACAAATTCTATTTTCCAAATTAATTTATTAATTCTAATACAGTAGCGCCTGTCATCAATTTACCAAATTCTGCATTTTCATTACTGCTATATTGAACGTTTTCTTCCCTGCATCTCACTATGGGATTCACGATTAAAGCCCTAAAACTTAATATATTCATAACAATTCATCACACATCATCATCTGATAATTCTACAGCATTTTAACAACATCAAGACATCAATATCCATCTAAAATTCATCAAATCATCATCATACATCATCATATACATCCAATTTAAGAACAAGACAACAATCATCACTAATCCCACATACCAATCATCATAAACCAAATTATAGAGTTAGAACCCCACCCTTACCTTAGATTGAAGGTCGCTCTATAATTTCCGGTTGGATTCACGTTCTTGCCGTTTTCCACTTCTCTAGCAGCTTGCACGTTCTCTTCCAAATCCTTATTTCTTTCTACTGCTTCCTTCTTTTTATTCTCTTCTAACAAATAATAAAATAAACCTATTATTCTATTATTCCTTATTAGGCTCAAAACCAACACACCCCCTTATTACTTCTACTCTCCCAAAATAATTCCACATTAAATAATATTACACTTTTAATATTATTTCACCACATAATACTATATCTCTAATATTATTTCTCCACTTAATAAAATAAATCCAATTAATTATAACACATCTTCACAAATATTCCAAAAATAATTTAATCAAATTTTTAATAAAATTACGGGCGTTACATTATCCACCTTCCTACTTACCAGCTGGCTCGCCCGACGATGTTGTGGCGACTCGCTCGCCCGGTGCTCGCCTATGACTCCCCCGGTGACGCTAGCGAATCAACAACTTCTCAGTTGCAATTTCAGACCATAACAACTTCAATTCTAGGCATCAAACTCAGTCTAAAATACATTTTAATCACCATGCATCACATATTAACATCAAAATATATCATTACATCAATATAGACATAAATTATAGTATACAAACATCATCATCAATAATTTCATCATATATTTCAGCACATCAATCAAACAAACAAACCTTACATCTACCTTAACCCCTTATCGATTATAATAAACTCGATAACACCCCTTACCTCGTAGTCTTAGCAATTTCACTCTCTTCCTTCACATTTTACGAAGTTCACCACTCGGTTCTCTGTAAGCCTTAGCCTCTTCTTGTTCTCCAAAATTCTACAATCGTACAAAATGAACCTATCTCTCTTATTTTCTATTTTTACTTTGTTACCCCTTAAACTCTTTTCTATGTTATTCCCCTTAGGCTCTCACTCATCGTCATATATTACCATCATGTCCATAATATCTACACACAACTAATTATTCTATTTAATTATTATTATAACTCTAAATAATATAAACTAAATTATTTAAATCTAAATAATTCTAACTATCACCTTAATCCACCACTACCCCACATCATATCATCATACATCACACAAATAATCACAAATAATCAATTAAATAAATAATTCTAAATTCTTGGGTGTTACAATAGTGATAGGTGAAACGTTTAAATGTTATTCCTATTCCTACTATGTTGATGAAGTTGTTAGTTTATGTGTTTAGTTAATGATAGTGTTGTGTGATAATGATGTTGTTATGTTGATATTGTTATGAAAATGTTGTTAAGATGTTGATTATGTTATGATAATGTGATGTTGATGATGTTGTTATGATAATTTTGTTAATGATGTTGTTTATGTTGTTGTAATTGGTGTGTGATGTTGTTGGTTAATCTACTCTAATTGTCTTTCACTGCTAACTATTGAATTGTATTATCATCCTTTTTGTTTAAATGTTGCCTTCACATGGGCATCATGCAAATAATTAGGAGTAGCTTTTCTAAAGTAAGTGGAAGATATCCTTAGAGCTACTTCCATAGTTTATTGCTTTTACTAGTGGTTTCTTGCTCTGGTTGTATAACATCAAGTTGGGATAACCATTTAATTTGACTCTTATGTCGTTTGTGTCGGAGTTAAATACTTTTTGTTTGTTTGGGTTTTTTAAGTTGTTTGAGTTGAATATTATGACTCCTTTTTCTCATGTTATGACATTTATGAGACTAATTTTCGTAAGTTGCAATGTTGTTGTTAGTTATTTTATTAATGATTCCGCTGCGATGACTCCTTAAATAATTGGGAGACGTACGATAACAATTTATGAAATATATTATTATATTAATATGTAATACCGATCAAATGAGTTAGATGTCTTGTAAACATCCCAGGTACGATTCAAATGAATTGGATTTCGTGTAAACATCCCAATTAGAAATGTGTGTCTTTGAGCTATTATGTTGAAACTCGTGTTACATAACAAGTTGTGTTTTTTATGTGTGTGACACCCTATGTGGTTGTATATATAATTAAATCATGTGATATTTTATGTGCAAGGTTTAGGGTGTTATAAAAATGACATGGCTTAGATTGATTCATGATACAAAGTGTCGAAAGGAAAGTTAGAATATTTAATTAAAGTTCGGGGAAGGGTGATGGAAACAAGATTATCCCCGCCAGATTTGGCGATGACAAAATTAGGATATGCAAATTCTGAGAGCTTTGAGATATTCTACATTTACAGTTTGATGGATACTTATTGACGAAAAACAATAGTTGATTATTTAGAAAACCCAACATGGTCGACGGATCGAAATATCGAGTATCATTCTCTAAGTTATGTTATCATAGGAAATGAATTGTTCAAAAAGACATTTGAAAGGGTTTTACTCAAGTGTCCTAGTGAAAGTGAGGCATATTTTGGCCTTATCAAGTGTCCATAGTGGAGCTTGTGATGCTTATCAGGCTGGACATAAGATGAAATGGTTATTGTTTCGACAAGGTGTTTATTGACCTAGGATGTTAAAGGATTGTATCAAATTTATAAAAGGATGCCAAGAATGTCAAATACATGTAGGAATTCAACATGTTCCTGCAAGTGAATTGCATGTTATTATAAAACATTGTCCATCCAGAGGATGGACTTTAGATTTGGTTGGTGAAATTCGACCAACATCATATAAAAATCAGAAGTACATATTGGTTGGTATTAATTATTTTACTAAGTGGATAGAGGTGATACCTTTAGTCAATGTGGACCAAGAGGCAGTTATAGACTTTATCCAAAGGCATGTCATATATAGGTTTGGAATCCATGGGACTAGTATGACTGATCAAGGGTTAATATCTACTGATCGAAAAATGCAAGAGTTTGCTTATGAAGTAGGAATTAAATTGTTAACATATATGCCTTATTATGCACAAGAAAATGACCAAGTCGAGGAGGCCAACAAAATTATAATTGGTTTAATTAATAAACATGTTCTCATAAGACATTGGACCAAGTTCTATGGGCTTGTCAGACTTCTCCTAAGGAAGCGACAAATACCACTCCATCTCGATTGACCTATGGACATGATGTTGTCCTACCTATCAAAATATATTTGCAATCGACTAGGATTTAAAGACAACATGAATTACCATATGAACATTATTGGAAAATGATGTTAGATGAATTAGTCAATTTAGATGTTATATATTTTGAGAATGCAAAAAGAACGAGTAGCCAAAACCTATAACAAAAGGGTTAACTTCAAGACGTTCTCGACTAGAGATTATGTTTGGAAAGTCATTTTGCCTATCAACCATAAAGATAAAACTTTAGGTAAATGGTCCCCTAATTGGGAAGGTATATTTCAAATTTATCAAGTATCTTCGAATAATGCCTATGAGATCGAAGAGTTAACACATGACCGTCGAATCCTGAGAGTAAATGGTAAGTATTTAAAAAGATACAAACCTATACTGCAGGAAGTTCAAATTTCGACATGATAATATTCATGCATACGAAATGCTAAAATGGTGTTCAAGATAGGGTGCCAAAATGGCTAAGTCATTACAAGATATTACAAAACAAAAGTTAGAAATCGAAAATATAACTAGGCGGGAAATTTGGACTTTAACTTTTTAGGACGTTCTTTCGAAAACAAAATTTAGGTACTCAATTTGGTAGAGGCTTCCTCTAATTCATCTAGTTCATCCTTCAATCGAAGTGCATACTTGGCATACTGGACACGCTTGGCTGTTTCCTGTTCAATTTTCTCCCTGGTAAGACCTAATTCATATTTGCTAAATTCGATTTTTTGTTTCTCTAAATCAGAAATCTTTTTGTTCAATTTAGAGATTTGGAAATTATAGTTAGAAATCTGATTGTTGAAAGAGGTTGTTTTATCTTGTTGCTCTTGATATTTGGCCTCAAGCTTATCGACTTGAGTCTCGAACGTCTTGCTTAAAAGACATTCTCCAGCTACCTCTCTTTTCTTCTTTTGAATCTAAGCATCATAATTGGTTTTGAGTTGGATGTCCCGACATATGTGGTCCAAAATGGCCTTAAAATCGAATAGGAATTAGATGAGGGAACCATGAGTTCTTTACTTATTGATTGTTTGCAGTAATTTCTAAATTTCTAATCCAATATTAGCATCTGCTTCAATGGCTTTATGGAGATCAATGTCAAAACATTATCTCTAAGTTGTTGAAACATGAGATTGACACAATCTTCAAACGCATTAGTAACAGAGGTGTTGGAAGAACCGATACTAGCAGATATTTTACGAAGCTTTTGAAGTCGCCTTAAGGCCTCCAATGGATTTTTCTTCTTGATGACTAAAATTTTCTCTCGACTAAGGGAGATGTTAAAGGAAGTATCCTGGATCATATGGTCATTTTTAATTCTAATGGCTTCAAGTTTTTCATCTCTTGCCGAAGATGGATTAAGTTTGGCAGCAGGTACTTTTTTGTCCACTTCAACATCTATTTTTTCCTCTTCTTTCTTGTCAAGAGTTTCATCAACTAGTTGCTCATGCTGGTTTATATTGTCATGAACTAAAGCCAATGTGTCTTCAAAATCATCATCATGTTGGGGAGACAGTTGACTAGCATCAATTGAGGCTTATGAGTGTTTTCTTTGGGATTATCAACACCTTCGCCGGTTGGTTTGTTGATTGGTTAAATGGAGGAAAGACTAACCTAAGAAGGAGTCGACCGATCAATAGGTGACTGGGTTTTGTTAGGAGTTGATGTTTTTGGACTAGGAAGTTTCTCTTGTAACTCTTCACTCGATTTTAATTGTACCTGAAAAAGGAAGTCAATTAAATTGTGAAAAGTTGTGTGTCGACAAACAGAGCATGAGTACAATTGATATCTCAATGGTTTTATTTTTATCTTGGATGTTAGAACTGGTGGTATGAAGGTGGTTTTCCTTATTAGGAGAGGTTGGATTCTTGCTTCCTTCTTTGGTTGGTTCAACAATCAAAGGTTGAACATTCTTCGCAGGTTTGTTTATTCGAATAGCACCTATCTTGCCTTTGGGAAAACTTGGCTTAAAGGATGGTTGGGGTTTTGGTTTCGAAAATATTTGAGTCCTTTCACTGTTGTTGGAACTTTCACCCTGACCCTTTGATTGTTTTGATGAAGCCTAAGAAAGACAAAAGTATCCAGTTGTGATAATCGTTGAAACTAAAAAATAAAAGGAACATGAATTGTAAGTGCATGCCTATGTTTGTTCAGCTTTCGGGGTCTTCTTTTTCTTCGGTTGTGTGGAAGAAGGAGGAGGGATTTGACCCCTTTTTAGACCCTAGAGGAATATTGTATTTAGGACTATGTCAAATTTAATGAAGAAAGAAAATAGAAGAAACTTACCTTTTTAGGTTTGTTTTCTTGGCCATCAGTGGCAGCAGTTGTGCCTTTGGATTTCTCCTCTCAAGCTTTGGTTACAAAAAAGTACATGATAAAGTTGAGATATGCAGTTGAGATGAGTTGAAGTTTAATCAAAATATATTAATACATACCTGCTTTAGCTGCTAGAAATTCCTGTAAGAGGGAAAGAACGGTTGATAACCTTTGAAAGAAGACTGGTTTAGAAAAAGTGCTTTGGAAATTATTCAACAACCATTTCTAGAATTCTTTTGTTGAGTAGAATGATTGTTGAAATTTTAATGTTGGTATTCCAAGTAATTGATCATGTTGGAACTTCAATACGTCTCAATATTCTTGTGGGGTAAGTTTGCGCTTCGACCAGCAAATGTCGTATGCCCACGTGTAGAGAGATGTTGGTACCATTTGGCTAAAACCAATTTGTCTTGCCACCAAGTTTGGTTGATAGATAGTGAAACCTTAATTTGTATTTCCATGTTCGATTCTGGTAGATAGAAGTGTTAAAGTTAAAAAGGCCATCCAAATGGAACTCGTTGTAGCAGTAGCAGTGGGTGTTAATGATAACACTGAATCGCAATGCATATTTGACCCGATTCACACAATTTTATTAGGTTTTTATTTTAATTTTCTTGTGTTATGTTTGCATTTTATTTTGTTTTTAGTTTCTTTGTCTTTCCTAAGTCTTTCTTGAAGAAATGAAGAAAAACGAGCTAAAAATCAAGATTTTAGAGTTTTTGCACTCGTGGCTTCCACCATGGCGCCTGCCATAGGGTCAGCCATGAGGTGGCCAACTTCAGCCAACTGCCATGTTTTCCACTACTTCTTCATTTTTGGAGCATGGCGGCCGTCACACCCCCATGGCGGGCGCCACCTTTGCAAATTCAATACCCGCTCAAAAGAAGTTGGAGGGCATTCTTGTGATTTCCAAAATCCTCCTAGGCCTATAAATAGAAGTGATTTCAGTTCTTCTTCTTCATCCAAGCTTAGTTGCAATGACTTAAGCCATATATTGTCCAATTGTAAGCGGTAATTTCTTCACATCGAAGAGTTATCACACGAGTCATTGAGTCGGTAATCAAGTTTGGAGCACTTTACAATCTTGCCGCCATTTTAATTCAAGTTTCCTCTATTTCAGTCAAATTTACTTTCCAGTCAAGTTGCTTTAAAGCCCTCCGTTTGGAGCAGGTTTCTATTTAATTTTCCGCATTTATCGCACTTATTTCCTCACACTTACTTTACTTTGTTTATTTTTCTTGCATCGCACTTGCTTTACTTTGTTTATTTTCTCGCATCGCATTTACTTATCTTTTAACCTTTTTACTTTCTACTTAAACATGATTTGCTTTAATAAGTTTATTTCCATGTATGGCTAATTTCCTTTAGGTTTAGAATGTAATGATCATGGTTAAGGTAACCGTCTAAACATTGCATCTGTAGGAATACTTTAGGGGCTGTTTTGGTTTTTAACACAAGTTTTCTGCACTTTATTTTTTATTGGGTAAGATCGAAAGTCATCCAACCATTGATAAAATTGGTTAGTCTTAATTGTTCAAAGAGAGTTAAAGCGTTTTGTTCAATTTAGTAAGAACCTTTAACTTTTTAGAAGAAATGATTTCAAAACCTTTTTCAGATGCGTTTATAGGTTTAAAAGTCTAATCATCTCTTGGTTAGAAGTTCTGAGTCAAAATCACTTTTAAACTTAGTCAAGTAACTATATTTCTTAAAAATAGGTTTATTACTTTAACGCTATACGCACATTTTATCCGTGACAATAAAAAGACATTATTTAAAGAATAAACTCGATTCTGAATATGCAAAAGCGACAGTTCCTGTTAAACTATTTCTTTTCAAAGTAGGAAATATTTCCCCATAAGTAGTTCTAGTAGAAGCATTTTAGAGTATTATCGGGCTATTGTGATTTGCATTCGAATCCGTTGCTTTTATCTAAATTGACATCTTTTACTTTATTTACTTTGCCTGCTATAAAACAGTGATTTGATCTTCCTTAGATAAACATAGTGACAATAGAATTTGATAGATTGACATTTTGGTCTCTGTGGGATCGATAATCTTTTATATTTCTCTGATGTGATTCATATACTTGCGAAAATCACGCATCAAGTTTTTGGCGCTATTGCCGGGTACCAATTACGTCAAATTTTGTACCATGTTGTTACAACGTCTAGACTAAGGTTTAACTAGCCGGTCAATGCGAAAAGATCGTAGTACTGGGAGTTTATTAAACCTTAGTGAAACCTGAACGTTACGCTCGCGCTCGCCTCTTACTCCAAAGAGTTAGGAAAGCTATGGCCGAAAATTGTGACCAAAGACCCCTTAAGGAGTTCGCCGAACCCTCCAACGAAGAACCTAGTTCTAGTATAGTAAACTGTGATATTCCTGCCAACAATTTCGAACTAAAACCCTCTCTATTACAACTACTACAACAAAACCAATTTGAGGGTCTTGCTACGGAGAACCCAAATCCACATTTGAAAATACATTCAACTAGCTGATACCTTTAAAACCAACGATGCTACATCCGAGGTGATTCGTTTAAGACTATTTCGTTTCTCCCTCATAGATAAAGCCCGTTGTTTGTTAGATTCCCTTCCAGCCAATTCAATAACAACTTGGGAAGACCTTAGGAGAGTGTTCCTTGCCATATATTTTCCCCTAGTAAGACTGCCATTCTTAGACACCAAATAACCAGATTTACTCAAGTCCAAGGAGAATCATTGTTTGAGGTCTGAGAAAGGTATAAGGAATTATTAAGAGTTTGCCCCCACCATGGCCTAGAACAATGGCTGATCATACATACCTTCTATAATGGACTCCAATATAACACCAAGATGACCATCAAAGCTGTCGTCGGTGGCGCTCTGATGAACAAAACTTACCCTGAAGCTTACGCTCTCATTGAAGATATGGCTCAAAACCATTACCAATGGGGAACAGAGCGGGCAACAGTGGAGAAGAAGGAGCCCCAAGGAGGAATACATGAGATAAGCTCTATGGACATGATGCAAGCCAAAGTGGATGCTCTAGCCCTAAAAGTCTAGCATATGTCCAATACCTCATCCACTATAGCAGCAGTCACCCAAGAATGCGAGATATGTGGAACCCAAGGACACCAATCAGCAGAATGCAAACTACTGAACAAAACAACCATCAAACACATTAACTACATCCAAGGAAACCCCTTTTCGAACACTTATAAACCTGGATGGAGGAATCATCCAAAATTCTCCTATAAGAACAATAACCCTATCTAAATCTCTGCACCCCCAAGACCACCAGGTTTCAAGCTCCAAGACCAAACCAACCTATGCAAGTTGTTCCCCCCAAAACCAAACCTCGAGAAAAACATGGAAAATTTTATCTTATCCCAAACTCAACAAAACAAAGAATTCATGAACTAGAACATTCATGTAAATGAATTGATCACACAATTAGGAACTAAGGTTGACCAGATAGTAACTCATAACAAGATGCTTGAAACCCAAATCTCGCAAGTAGCCCAAACACAAGCTCCCTAGACTATGCCTTGAGGATAATTTCCTAGACAACCTCAACCAAACCCTAGAGTTCAAGCCAATGCAATTATCTTACAAAGTGGGACTGCTTACGTTGAACCTTTTAACCCAACCTTGAGTGAACCTAAAACCCCTAAGGAAAGTGGAGTATAAAAACTAGTGGAACCCAAAAAGGATAAAGACCAAGATAAGGAAGAGACTAGAGACAAAGATTATGTACCACCTCCGCCATACAAGCCTTTGATACCGTATCCACAAAGACTAAAGCAAACAAAAATCAACAACCAGTATAAAAAATTCTTAAAGATAATAGAGAAACTTAATTTAGAGATTACCTAAGTCATCACCCAAATACCATCATATGCAAAATTCCTTAAAGACATGCTGACCAACAAACGAAGACTTGACAATCCCAAACCCTTAGAATGCAATTCTATCTCTGAAAATAGATTTTCCAAGAAAGAGAAAGACACTAGAAATTTTCCATATGTTCTATATTAGGGGACCATGTGATTGATAAGGCGTTTCTGGATTTAAGAGCTAGCATTAGCCTAATGCCTCTGGCAGTTTGTGAAAGATTGAACTTAGGAGAATTGCAACCTACTAAGATGTCTTTTCAATTAGATGATAGATTTGTCGAATATCCCGTTGGTATATTAGAAGACATCCCAGTTAGAATCGGACAGTTATATATCCCTACCGACTTTGTTGTCATGGAGATCAAAGAAGATGATGATATCCCAATTCTTCTAGGAAGACCCTTCTTATCTACAGCCGGAGCCATAATAGATGTCAAGAGAGGAAAACTGACCATTGAAATGGGCAATGAAAATATAGAGTTTATTCTTTCAAAGTTCCTTATGGCACAAGTAATATGAGACGCATGTTATGCCATAGAAATTATTGATGAGTGTGTAAGAGAATTAAACGAGGAAGGAACTATAGAATCAATCAAACTATCTTCCACCACCATATAGGAAGACGATGGATTCAAGAAGATGGAACCCTACATTGATGATAACCTATATGAATGTTTAGCCCTTACCCTAGATCCTATACCTAGCCCTAAGAAAACCACTTTAGAACTTAAAGAATTACCCAAGAATCTAAGATATGAGTTTCTTGACGAGGAGATGAAGTGCTCAATTATCATGAATGCTACCTTAAACCAAGCTAAAACAAACCAACTCTTAGAAGTTTTGCGAAAATATCCCTCAACCTTAGGGTATAACATTTATGATCTAAAAGGAATAAGTCTGTCTGTATGTATGCATCGGATATTACTAGAGGAAGATTCTAAACCCTCCAGAGAGCACCAAAGAAGGATAAAACCTATAATGAGTGATGTTGTAAAGAAAGAAGTCCTTATGTTACTAGAAGCTGGTATCATTTATCAAATCTCAGATAGTAGATGGGTAAGCCCTGTGCATGTAGTACCCAAAAAGGGAGGCATCACTGTCATGCAAAACATAAAATGT